ACAAAAGAACATTTTCCCAGCAACCAGGAAGGAACGAACCTCTACAGGCAGAGAGTGAGGAAGACAGCAGCCCGGATACCTAGGCAGCTCAAAGCCAGGCAATGATCATCAGCTCTAACAACTGACAGGAGGGAGAGAATGTGGTAACACCCACACATGATAAAAAATATCTTTCAAAATTTAAGACAAAATAAATTTCTTCTCACTAATCAGAGCTGTGAGGACTCATCACCAGCTGATCACATGAGAATAACTATGAAAAGAAATTCCTCAGGCAAAGAAAAATACCAGATGGAACCTGGACCTACCAAAGTAACAGTGAATGACTGATCGGTAACACAACACCAATGTTAAGAATAATATTTCCTCAGTTTGTAGTCGCTTTAAAAATAACCTTAAATAGCAACTGAGCAGACACCGAAAGGCATGACGAAGAGAACAAAGGATACGGTGGGGAGCAGTGAAAAGTCAGTTATTGGAGAGGTCCACATTACATACGAAATGGTATTGTACGAGGAAAGGCCATGCTGAGCTAAGTCCTGTAGTGACCACTAGAGAAACAGAATTAAAACTAATCATGGGTAGTGGGATACAGGTGATACCATCACCTCAGGCAGAGACAGCAGCAAAAGCTCACCCCAGCAAGTGTGACAACAGCACGGCAAGGCAGGACTCAAATGTTGGCTCCTCCCTTGGATGCAGACCTCCTGCTTGACTTACTAAATCTAAAAATACCACAGCTATCCTAACTGCCTTCCAAAACAATAGCCAATTATGTTAAGAAAAAAGCGCATTCCTAACAATGACTAAGACATTTGCTTTCTGATAGTTTCTGGCATTTTCTATTTGACTCCTAAGCCGACCCATTCTTGCACGCACATGATACACTCTGTTCTCACCACTAGAAGGTTCTCACCCCAGCACTACTGGCTAGATCAGTCTTTGCTGTCGGGTGGGTCTGTGCACGGGAGGCCAGGAGACCTGCCCAGCTGCGAAAGTCCACTCTCCAAATGTCATCACACCTACCTGTGCAGCAAAGTTAATGTTTGCACTTCAGACTCTGGTGCTGGGCATTACAATTAAATGCATGTCTATGCTCTGCATTAACTCCAAGTACTAGCAACATTCAACTGCCGTTCCTGAAGTGTCTCTGTAACTGTGGCTAAGATACAACAGCAGAAAACCTTTCACTCAAGAGTTCGCGTACACTCCAAGGACAGGCCTTGCTTATCTCTCTACATTTCCTTATCAAAAACAAAACCATTATTCACTGAACTGAACAAACCATAACGTAAAGAGAAGCTCCAAGAACATGAACAACACGTGCTAACAAGTGACATCATGGAATGAAAAGCAGAGTCACTTAGTTAAGAACTGTTTGAAGTTAACCCATATTTGTTTTCTTAAACAGTCAGAGAAAAATGTCACTGGTCTTTCAACCACATACCAGGTCTGTCCTCTCTTCTAAAGTACGTTTGAGCCCAGCCACTCACTGGTATTTCAAGCATGGGCCTCATTAACAGGTATTTAGTATGAACTATAACTCCCTTTACAGTAAATGTAAATGCAACTTCAAAAAGAAAACAAAGAAACTAAAACCGTAAGAGTTTTAGTCATGCGGTCATGAGCATAAAGTTATGTTCTTAATATTATGCCTAACCCTGCATGAGACTGCTTTTAAACAAAATCATGTTAGAGTTTTAACCTGGGAACAAATTGCTCTTTATCAGGGACACCTGCAACTCCCCGACTCTAACAGTACGTTACTGAAAAGCAACACAGATATAGTAAGGTTCTGCCCCAGGCTGCCAAGGAGCAAGAATATGTGAGTGAATCTGTTGCAGAATGTGTGGTGCTTGGCTCAAAAGAGATACCCGATAAGCCTACCCAAAGCCTGTTCATTAATGGGATATATAAGGAATAGTTAAAGAGTGTGAAACATGAAGTACGGTTCCCAACTCAGAAAAGAAGAGGAAAGGCAGGGCCTTAACCAACTGAACAATAATCGGAAGATGGCGCTTTACATCAACATGGTACTACCTAAAAAGCAACTAACAAAATTTAGTTACTGTCAAATCTGAAAATGTTACTCTAAGAATCATTCATATATCCAGAGTTTAAAGATAATCCAAGACAGTAAGAGAGAATATAAGATTAACCAAGAGTATAAAAGAATAATTTCCATCAATGGTTCAAGGCAGGTTAGAAAAAAGCAGTGGGGAACAACAATTATAAGGCAATCTAAAACACAGGTAGTAGAAAATTTTAAAAAGTAGTTCTAAAAATGTGTGGCCAGCGCTAGGCTTCTAAGACTGAGGAGAAAAATGATATTTTCCTCTCTGAACACTCCAGAAGCCAGTCCACAGCTAGCAGCAGACACTATGCGTCATACTTCTGCACTGTACTAGCTGCCATTTGCCAGCTAGAAAGAGACTGTTTGACTTACAATCTTTTTGTGAATCCATAGTTCTCGTGTTATCATGATGCCCATTATACAAAGCAATTTAACTAGCACGTTCAACCTTGCAAACCTACAAGAATCTGTCCTGGAAAGGGACCACTGAATCCTGTTACATCTGTACCTAGCAGAGAGCAAGCGCAATGCAGAGCCTGGGGGCAGAACTCAAACTCCAAGATTCTACAGTACGCCACAAAAACCCATCATCTCCCCTACAAACCTCCCCTGTCCTAAAGACCTTGCTGTAGCAGTCTGAAAAGCACAAGTCCTAAAAAATTTCCAGTCACACCTATGTCTCCCCACCATCTATCTCCTACTCCCATCTTCCTACTCCACCCCACAACTAACTTGACTACAGTGAAAAGCTAACCACAACATATTCACTATCTATAGACACTTAGAATTGAGACCTGAAGGGGTCTGTTTGGAACCATGACGCAAAGTCAAGGTGGGTCTGATGTGAACACCAGCAAACCAAAGACACAAAAACCAAAAGGTTTCAAGAGAAGACCATTATTTAACAAGTGAATAAGGCATGCAACTTGTAGTAGAGAACTAAGAGAAACCCAACCTGAGTTCAACCTGAAGACGTTCTGGTCCCCAGGACACTGAGCTAGAATCACAAACTTCACTTTAGAGTCACTGCTCCAACAGTATGACAAATGTCTTTTTCAAATAAGCCAATTCAAATGGCTTTTGTGATTCTTGCAGCCAAAAAATACTCAAGTCATTATGAAAGGTCAAAGAAAAAGCACCAAGTAAACAGCAGGAATACAAAATTGCTAAGTTTTCTCCTTTTGTCATGTCCAGTCAATAATCCATACATTCCAAATGCTTAACTCTATGAAGCCCTTTTAAATTAATTTCTTTCTGTAAGGATGGAAAGAAAAGAGAAAAAATATGGATCTGCCTCATTTGCTTTTAAAATTGGAAAGCCCATTTTGTTCCCCCGTGCCACAATGCCAGTGTAGTATAGCCTCAACTATCACTCAAGCTAAGCTCTTAAGTTTCTTAACCTGTCTCAACACTCTGAGTGCTGAATGTTTTACTACTGGGGCCACTTCTCAAAAAGGAAAGAAAAGAAAAAGCTTATGTAAGTAACTACCCCATCCAAAGTTACTCTAATTGCTTTCCAAATGCAAGACAAGGTAACCACTGCCCCATGAGTTTGAAACCTTTGCCACAAGTTAGAAAGACTAACAACAAATAGTTTTCTATCTCACTCTGCCAAGATGAATGGGAAGGAACTTCTGTTACCTCCTTTGCCCAATCACCTAAGTTCTTTTGTATCTTTGCATATGGCTAGAATTTCCCTACTTATAACTGGAAATTTCCCTTTAAACAACCTGCTACATTATGATTTGAATTGGCTGAGTTCCTTTCCCAGACACTAAATCTCTGGAATTAAAATAACACGTACCATCCTTTCTCCCAGAGGATTTTCTTCTGCTTCTAGACTTAGCCCTGGAATTCAGAGGCAATCTCTCACTAGAGTTCCAGGGCTACTACTTCAGTATCTTCAACAACAGAGAGAAATCGCTGGCCACAGAGTGTGGTGCAAATTTCCTCTTCAGGTGGATCAGTTGAGCAGTTTTGTAGCTATCTACATTAGTAACAGCTCAGCTCGTGAACCCACTTCTCCAATTCCCTCATATCCCTTTATCCCTCTTAAGTCAGTTACTGACAACACAACTAATTGTTTAACTCACTGCCAACCCATGATTCACAGTTCTGCCTGAAGAACACAATTAAGTATGAACAACCAGGATATTCCTTGGAAAATGTTCATACAGTTTAAATGATTGGATGGCACTATTTGAAATGACATCAATAATAGCAAGCACTGTGCTGCCATTTACCAAAAGAAAAAAAACAAAACAAAACATGCTAAGACATTAAAACAAAATCATCTTTGCATAAATAGATGCTCCATCTTTCCTGATACTCTTAAGTATTGTTATACACAATAAAATTGGGTATCAACATAAATAACGCTGCTAACAAGGTGAGAACAAGCAAAAGAAAGCCAGCGTTTAAGAAGCAATGAGTAATTACACAGCTAAAAGAACTGCGAATATTAACTCCTGTACGCGCCAAGGCCAAGACACATTAGCGATGTGTCTCAGCAGTATATTGCTCACCATGAAATGTCTTAATACCTACAGCTAATCCACCTCCAACTAATAGGTTTTTTTTTTTCTTTCTTTCTTTTTAAAGAGGGTAAGCAGAGTTAAAGGACTGTCACCAAGCCATGACAGGGGTTTAGACAGTAATGTCACTGTGCTTTAGCCAGACCATTTTCTATATGATAGCGCAGTTCGGAGGCTCGGCCAGCCCGGGGCGACGTGACAGCGATGCAAACAGCGGCATCGGAGGTCTGGGCTGCGCCGGGACCCGGGTTCGGGCGCTGACAGGGAAGGATGCTGCTGCGGACAAAGTAGTGCACCGTCCTCCTCCCGCCCGCGCCCCACGCACCGAGGCCAAGCCGCCCGGCAGCAATCGGGACCCGGCCCGCCGGCTCCCCGCTCCCCGCCCCGCTCACCCGGCGGCGCAGCCTCTCAGCTCCCGGGCATGTCACCCGCCCGTCACGGCCCGCAACGCCCGGTGGAGCGAGCCGCAGCGCAGCGGCGCCTCCCTCGCCCGCCCCAACCCGCGACGCCACCGCCGCCGCCTCCCCACGCCGCCCACTCACTCTCGCGAGAGCGATCGCACGTCTCGCGAGAACGACCCCGCGGCCGAGCCCGCGCAAAAGGAGCCAGGAAGGGGGCGGAGGACCTCCCCACGTGCTCCAAAGGGCAAAGCGGCGGGGCGCCTGGCACGTGACACAGAGGCGCCCTCTCCATTGGTCAGGGGCCCCTCGGCCCCTGGGAGCTTTAAACGCGGAGCTGACCTACGAACACTCCGCTGACGTCTTGCGTGCTTCCTGGTCTGTTGCCTTGGGAACGGTTTAACCCTTTTTCCTGACAAAACACCCGAGCCCAGCTCGCTCGCCTCCTCCACCCATAGGCTGTCTGCTTGGGCTACACCCCCTCCACGGGTTTGCTTTTCCACAGCGACATCCCACTAGATCAAGGGTCCACACACAGCCCATCCTTCAGAATGGCCCTGCCCGGTTCCCAACAACTTCAGGGAAAACCACTCGGGGTGCACCAGGCCTCGAGTCCAAACTGAACCTCTGGGACCCGTCCAAGGGGAGTGTTCACCCCATGTGGCATCGAGATTGGAATTGGGAAATAAGGCTTGGGTCACCGAGAAGCCGAGCCTCGGATGACAAGCTGTGTGACTCCTGTTTAAATCGGAAAAACTAGTGCAGCCAGATGCTCGGTCTCAAGGACAATCATTCCTCATACTGGCTGAGAGATGAGAAAGGCGTTTTGAAGGATATCCTCCTTGCTATTTGTTTTGTCCTCTTCCGGAGAGAGGATTGAGAAAGAAAGAGTGGATTCATATTTTCATTCTCTTCCACAGCTTTTGGCTGTTTTCCTACACGTTTTAAGCATTTGCACCAAGTTGTCTATTGAACTATGATGGAGACAAATAGCCTAGCTTGTAGACAGATCTGTTAGGGGTTGGGGAGAATATCTGTAGGTGTTACACAATTTTATCATAATCTGAAAGTGGTTAAAATTGGCCCACTACTGGGGGGCGATGCCCTTGGGGGAGAAAAGGTTCAAGCAGTGATTTGGATAACAGCCCTACAAAAATGGGAGAGAAGAAGGCAAATTCGCAAGCCTGAAATTGGGATCGAACCTAGAATATTGAATGACAGGAAATAAACCTGGAAAGATAATAGAGGCTAGATCCTCTACAGTTTTATTAACCAAGAAAGGAATTGGGAATTAGTCTACAGTGAAAAGCTTTGAAGACTTACAAAAATACTAACAGCTAACTCAAAACTCTTCCCTGTAGATAGTGAAATTTAAGGAAGCCAAAGTAGAGAAGGAGTCTAGTCCATGTGAGAGACAATTGTGTAAGACTCAACTTCCAATGACCTTGGCGATCTCCAAAATCAGAAGTCAAAGCCCTAAAGTTTTCTGCTGACTTCTGTTTAAAATATGTAGATTTCTGCTACCTAACAGAAATAAGTGGAGGGGTTTTTTGTTGTTTTATTTTTTGTTGCTTGTTTATTGAACTACTTGAGAAAAGGAATGGCCAGAAATGGTTCTCAACTTTGGTTTTCTTTCCTTCATTTTCACTACATAGGTAGCTACATTTTTAAGTTAGTTCTAAGCAAAATGGAACATAAAATAACGTTTCTTGTAGATATGTATTAAAGTAAGATTTGAAGAGATAGAGTTTTGAGGCTGAAAAAAAAAGACAGTTTAAGAAGGAAAGACGGGAGGAAGAAAGGAAGGAAGAAACAAAGAAAGTCAGGAAGTCTTCCAGTATGAAACCCACCCACTAACTAGAGACATAACCAAAGCAAGGCTCTATATAATTCCAAGTTTCAGCTCCCTATGCATAAAACAAGATTGAATTCCATTTTGTCAAGCATGTGCTGGCAGGGGAAGCTGGAGAGGGAAATGAACTTTTATGAAAGACGTAAGAGTCAGCAAGCAACACAAGCCAAATGAAATTGGACCGTCACACACCAGCTGAGAGACCGCAACTAATTGAGACAGATACCAGGAATGCTTTCCTAAGAAATGCTGGCCTCAGGGTGTGAAAACGGAAGCAGTACCACCTGTTCAGCCTCATAGTCCCTTCCTCTGGAGCTATTGAGAATCTGTGTAGCATCCAAAACTTTGCCTGTGCCTGATCAGAGTAAGAACTAAATGGAAAGTAGTCTTTTCTATTAGGTCTGAGACAACATCTGAACATTAACACCTTAGTTTTAATAAGATTTAAAGTTACTTTTTAGAAAGGAAGTGTTAAAAATAATTGTTTAAACAAGGCCATTTAAAAATCCCCCAAACAGGAAAAAAAAAAAAATCTCCCTCAAATAAAGCCAATTCAAAGGCTAATTTAGAATGATTTTTGCAGCTCTGATAAAGAAACAGAGGACTCAACTCTACCATCCTAACATTAACAGGATCATAAGTCATCCCAACTCACTCTAGCAGGGAAGTTTTTGTGGTCATGTGTGCTGGCTGGCTGGAGTGCTGTGGATAGAAAGTGAAAAGAATTCTAAGATCTCCTACGGTGTCCCTAGATCTTAGATTTTTCAAAACCTCCATCACAGACATGCACACTGTATATGTAGACACACACTCAAATACATACACACACATATAGTTTACTCCAATATAATTTACATGCATCCAACTTCATGGTTTTTGTATATATTGACAGAACTTTGTAGCCCTCACTGTGATCTAGTTTTCAAAATAACCTTGTCCTCCCATTTAAAAAAAAAATCATCAATTAGCCACCTATAATCCCCTATCTCACCCTCACCCCTAAGCAATCACTAATATGTTTTGCTTTTATAAACTTGCCTAACCTTGGTATTGAATATTAATGAAATTAAATAGTATATGACCTTTTGTGTCGTTTATCCACTTAGTACATTGTTTTCAAGGGTCATCCATGGTGTAACATGTATGAGTATTTTGTTTCCTTTTATTGACATAATAATCCTATTCTATGCATATAGCATATTTTATTGATCATTTTATCAGTTGATAGATATGTGGGTTGTTTTCACTTCGGGCAATTCTGTAAAATGTGCACTGAACATTTCTCTAACATTCTGTAGTAGAGGTTGCTTTCCATTCTTAATTTTTAAAAATATGTAACACATTACTTTTTTTGACTTTTAACAAGGGTCTGAAGAGATGGCTCCACAGTTAGAGCAATGGCTGCTCTTCTGGAAGACCTAGGTTGTTAGGTTCCCAGAACCCACCCAGTTGTTCCCAGTGAACAACCGTCCATAACTCCAGTTTCAGGGGACTGAACACCCCCTTCTGACTTCTGTAGGTACCTAGTACATCTGCATACATGCATTGAAGACATCTATATATAAAACAAATGAATCTTTCCAAATTTAAAAAACAGAAAAACACACAAATTTATCTAGTTTACAAAGCCCTTGCTTCCAGTCTAAGCACACTTCCTTTATTCCTATGGCTTTTCTCTTTTTGGCCTACTCTGTTAAATATGTTTAGTCTATCCACAAGAGTATTTGTACTCAGGTCATGTACTGAGTATATGACCTGCCCATGTCATTCACCTGCTTAAGATCCTTGGTTCTTCAGGTGGCCTGTCTTGATTGCTCTGCTCTGATGTCTTTTTCCCTTTCAGATTCTCAAATAGGGCCAGACTCTGCCTCAGACCCTTCCCTCATACTATTCCTTCAGTATTGTGTATCTTTTTTCTGTATTCCTTTATCTGTGACTGCCCAGAATCCTTGAACCTTCAGCTCTTCTGTCACTCCTTCAGGAGCACTTGTCCTACCTCCCTACGTGAAGTACACTCCCACACATTAAGCAGCAAGTATTGAACTATTGAATTGTATCCTGGTCTCAGACACATAGGCCTAAGAACTTGAACTTAATTTTACTTTCATGATCAAAATTGAGACTTAGAAGCAAAATGGCTTCTGATATGCTAAAGGCTACAGCAGGTATTAACAGAATAGCCACAGTTATGTTAAGAACTAAAGTAAGTCTCAAAAGAGGGCTTATAGAGTTTAAGCAGGTTATAATTATAGCCCTGGGAATTGAACCTAGGGTCTTAGGCACACCGGGCAAGCAGTCTAACACTGGGCTATGCTCATCTCCAGCCCTATTTTTACTTTCTATTCTGAGACAGTCCCACTAAGTTAACCCAAGCTGGCCTGAAACTAACTCTGTAGACTAGGCAGGCCTTGCGCTTGGGTTCCTCAGGCCTCAGCATCCAGAATAGCTAAAATGGTGCTTTCACTTGTAGACATGATCCAGTGGAGTCAAGAAACTTGGGTGATAGGCACATGAAAGAATCGTGGCTTAGCAGCATTGAGTGATCTGTTCTTGATCACATCTGGCACTAAATGTCATAGTTCCATGCTAAAATCACCTAGTTCCGTCTGGGTCCTGCCTTTCAGTGAAACTGAGCCTACTACACAAAGCTGGCTCCCAACTTAATCCTCCCATGAAGTTCTGACTACAAAGGAAAGCATCTTTCCACCAGAAGCTTTGGAGCTTTACACCAGCAACCTAGGATAGCCAAAGGAGATTCCATGTCACTTCCTGTTTGAAAACTTGACTCGCCCTTGGCTGAGCTGCTGGATTCCTCCCTGAGCCACCCTGCATGAGTGATGGAGCCAGCTGTCAGTTGACGTAAAAAAAAAAAAAAAAAAAAATGTCGAAGTCCTCATACACATCCTCTAGTTCTTGTGTTTGTTTTCTCCTTGTTGCTTTTTAATGGCTATACATTAACATGTACTCAATGTGTGGAATATTAGAAAATTCAGGAAAAGACAGTGAGACCCTTGGAAGCACTGCTACAAGCTAAGGCCTTCTTGACTAGCAAAATAAATTGAAGTGTTATTACATATCATACTCAAATTTAATAATTCTTCTGATTAAATCATCAGAGCCTTAGCTAATCAACAATTTCCAATATAGAAAAGCCAGGTGTACTTTCTTTTAGAAAATGTGAAATGTGATTGTCCAAAATTCAAGACAAGCATTTTTGAAAGGATGT